AAGGCAAATATTTAATAATTTTTATAAACGTTTAAATACTATTCTAAGATGTAACTATTAATTTTTTTATCATATAAAATGTAATATCTAAACAAATAAAGCATATAATTATTCTTTTAACTACCAGGATAATTTTATTACTATGGATGTTAGGGCTTCGCTCTAGAATCCATTTATCTGTTTCCCACAAAACATGATCAGATGATAAATTGATGTTCAAAGCTCTTACAAACAGCTGCACGTATTTGTTTCTGGGACGACTCTACGGTCTTGTGAAAGTTCATACTCTAGTGGCGGATCCAGGAATCTGTTAGGGGTGGGGTGGGGTGGGGGTGGGGGTTCAGGATAGGGGCCCACACCCACACCAAAATAAAAACATGTAGATTTATTAAATCTTATGTAAATATTTTTGAAACAAAAGGAGGACCCAGGCCCCCTGCAAAATCTGCCAATGTACTTTCGTTTTTTCTGAATTTAAGTTAGTTTAATAAATGGATAAAAATGATGTTCTTATCCTGGTGAATAATGTTAGATGGATATATAAAAATTAAATTAAAAAAAAATACACACACAACAATTTCCTAATGCTTCATTTATGTCTTTGTGAATCTATGACTGATATTTTTTTGAATATTTAACACGATTTATAAATAGTATATGAACAATATAATATTTGTTCTAATAAATATTATGATTAATTTTAACAGCTAATTTCCTCTGAATTCCATGCACAAACTCGTATCATTTTTCCCTCTGACCCGATGATGACAGATTTAGTGTCTATCTCCGCCTCTAAACTGTTTACTTAAACTTTCTTCGTGAGGTCAAGAACTTTTTCAGAAAATAATGAAATAATTTTGAGTCATGTTTTAGGAAACATTTTTTCATCTTTAAAAATGGTTAGGTTTTTTTTTTCTTTTCTTTTCTTTTTTTTTTGGTTACATATAATTCCAAGAGAAAATAATCTTTTGTACATATCAATGAACGAAAGTGGAGTACATCTCAGAAAAATTCCCATTAGGGACTGCATGGACATATGAAATATTCACAATGAAGCTTCCATCAAAAATGGCTTATTATTTTAACATCGCTTAATGACCCTCGGTCATCTGGAGAATCTAATTAGTCTTCATCTCTAATTACAAAACGTGCATGCAGGTCTGACCCGGTCTTAGTGCACCACATATTCTATCATTGCGAGCCACGGGTTTTGTGTCCATTCTATTTCCCGTGGCTTGCGACGATGCACATTCTTACATTCGGTACTTTTATTCATTGTCACTGGCGGATCCAGGATTGTTAAAAAGGAGGGTGGGGACAATCAGTTTGGGATCGGGGTTGGGGCCCACGGTCACACCAAAAAATTGATTTGTTTAATCTTATGTATATTTTGGACATGAAAGAAGGGGTCCAGGCCTCCTCTAAATCCCCCAGTGCTTTTAGCAGCTCAATACCAGATTAGCATGTAAATGTATCATATTATATATAGCTTACATGTTAGAAGAAGACAATGTATATTCATTGTAAATATATGTAACTTTCATCAATACTTTTCCGGTTAATAGCTTCATGTAATGAATTGTATTATCATCATTTTATAAATGTTTATCGATCGAAATAGATATTCTACAATTCGCCTTTAATTCTGAGATTAAAATATGTATACTTCTTAAAGCTCATCAATAATTTTGAAAAGCATCTGACATAAACGAAACACATAATACATGTAGTACTCAAATATAAACATTAATTAAAAAGAATCATTAATAAATTCGAAAATAAATGTTTCCTTTAAGACAGACTTCGGGGGAAAAACTTTTAAAATGAAATGTGTTTACGAATTTTTGTATGAAACGATTTTCAAAAGAATTTCAACCATTAATGTAAAATTCTTTACACAAAATAATTCTAATCTACTTACATGTATGAGAATCCTAGAATATTTATGAATGAAAAAGTGCAAAATGTTAATGGAAAAAAATCTACTTGCTCCAGCGTTGTTAGACAAAGTTCTTGAAAAGTATAATGTTAAAAAGCTAAAATATTTATGGCACGTACGAAATAAAAAAAAATTGAAAGAACAAGGTGTGAACAAATGCAATGCAATAAGATGGAGATTAATGTAAAATTCTTATGGAAAACGAATTATACCTACTAAAAACCTAATTAATATCAGTGAATATTAATACAATGTAGCTATACTTTAGAATTAATACAAATATTACCTCAAAAAGTCACGTGATGCCTTACCGGTCTCGTTTTGGAGGCGCTCAGACAAAATGTGCACACAGGTTTGGGTACATTATCTACCCCGCCTCTAATCATGGCCTGATGCTTTATACACGGTTGGTCGACATAATCTGATCCCACCATCAGCACCGTGTTTAAGTGAGCTATGTAGCTTGTGGCTAGTCTCAAAGTCTCAATTTTTGACAATTTCCGGTCAGCAGGTTCAGTAGGAATAAGCGTCCTAAGCGTCACGAACGCCGTGTTGACGCTATGCGTCCTGTCCCTTTCACGAGCGTTAGCAGCCATCCGCTGCTTTGGGACGGGGGTTCCGTCAAAGTTAAAGCTACACGTTTTGTCCTCTCCGTCAGAATAATTTCGGGATTTTCTTTTCCGGATTCCAGAAGTTTGGTTGTCCTCAGTTGAACCACAGCTATCGTTTTCGTCTGAAAGATGTAAATCCTCTCCGCTTGGACCTCGTCGCATTGCGTCACTATGACGTTGCGTTCATTTACCTCATATTAAGCCACGGCATCAAGACACATATCAAAATAATTTCTAAGTTTCATTAAGCCCGCATCGATGAAAAATCTATTCAATGTTTTAAGACCTAAGAACTTGCATTTGAACCTCAGCAAGAATGGAATTACATATGGATATGCAATTTCACGCCATGTACATCCCAAATATGCTTTAATGTAGCGATAAACCCCGAAACCTTCCGTAATATCCAACACCTAGGCGGCTTCAAGCTGGTATTATTTCGATCTGCTAAAGTCATCACGAAGGATAATTACGGCGGCCTTTTTTCTGTCTGTCTGTCGAGTAAAGGTCGCATTTAATAGGAGGGGCACTCGGAGATTATGATGCTTCAAATGTCGTCGTCAAGGCAACGGGATGGCGTGATTAAAATGACGTTACAATTACAAAAAAATTTACATTCTTTTTTAGTTTCATTCAGAGGATCAAAAATTGTGCAAATATCGCGCCAAATGTTATACTAGTAATCTATTTGGAGCAAAAATTCTATAAAATCTAAAATCGGCAATGCAAGTGGGACTTGAAGCATTAAAAAATATACAATTGCGTTTCCGTTGAATTCTTTTGTTATATTTCTTGCCGTTCTTTAACAAAGAAAAGTTTGACTTGGAAAATAAAATCAACAAAATCAAATAAACTGATTTCCAAAAGTCGTCTTTCAGAGTTTCAATTAAGAGAAAAAAAATTAACGCCGTGCAAATTTTCGATTGAAGAGCGCATTACTGGTGGTAGCAACAGGCTTCCGAACCATCAGAAAACAAACGACATGCATGTTCCCCAATTTTTCAAAACAAATAGAAACTTGCCCCTATAATGATGCGTTGATGATTTGCGGAGCAGTCGAGAGAAGTGACCGTAAAATGAGATCTGCCACCGGTCAAAGAACTCTCTGGGGGCGGATCAAAGCTCAGTGCTCAATGAAGAACTCAGTAATTCTTTGCTCCGAAGAACAGTGTAGGAACGGTATTTATCCATCCTTCTTTTGAAACTCAAAATGCTTTATGTTTTAAGTTAGCATTTCCCCTTTTAGAATACTTTTTATAGTTTCATGTACAGTTGTATAAAAAACGCTCAAATTTCACCTGCCTTTCTTTTGGTGTATTCTTGAATCAAACGGGATATAAATTCAGATTTACTAAACATAAAATGTATCCTAAAGTGAGCGTACATCAAAATGGAGCTTAGGCGGCCATTAATACAAAGTACCCTTCACACTTATAAAGATATTCATATATCATGTATATACTAGAATATAATTCTGCATGTGTGCAAATTTTAGCGAGACGCAAAATTAGGGATTTTTGCTTTTAATTCAGATTTAATTTTGCAAGAAGTAATTCTATAATAGCAATTTTATAGTAAAATAACCGGAATAAATTGTTGCCGATATTAAATTTAAGTGAAAAATACAAAATTAAATCCTCGCTAAAATTTTCTGCTTATACAGTAATATTCCTGAATTGATAGATATACAATGTAAACGTGTGGAAAGAACACTAATGGGGCTGTGTCTTTTTTTATTTTTTTTTTATTTTTAGGATATTTAAAATATGTTGTCTACCTATTTTTGTTTTACATCGGATTAGTGTATTGTGCAATTTTGCCTCCCGGTATTTCGTCAAAATTATAATAGATACTTAGGTAAAGTTTATACCAAATATTTCAATGTCATGAATGCTGATGTCCATTCGTATATGTAGTCCATGCCGAATGTATATAATTTTTAATGTCAACATTGGTAATCTTTTTGACGTTGCATCCAATGAATACGTATCAGCATTAGCGGTCGCAAATAAGAAATAAGAAGATGGTTATTCCTTAAATCAGTTACAGGTATAATGAAGTTCCAACGTGTTACGCGGGTATATCTCAGATTTCACTGATCATGGATAGTATAGACAAGAAGAAAATCGAAATTTCTATTACATTTGTCTTTAGAAGCGAGGAATTTTGGATCACAGCGTATCAGGATAAATATAATATTAAATATTTGCATAAATAGGCACCAAGAATCATTTTTCTGAGAAAAGAGGGACGGGGATATTAATTATTTGACCTGTTGACATTGAAAAGCTACATAAAAAAAAATTGGGCATGCAAAAAAAAACTCTATCTCCTCTTTTTGATGAAAAGAGTGGTGTGTTTTTGAGGTGTGTGCGTGTGGGTGTGGGTGGGTTCCGGGGGGAGGGGGGGGGGGCTAACCCTGATTTTAGTGCCTAATTACAAGAAGAACATTTTGTAGTGTTTCAGTACCTTTTACTGAAGTTCTATAAAATTGCACATTAAGCATTTATATCACCAAGAATAAATATTGTAATAATCAGTCAATATCAAGTTTTATACAGTCTATAGCTGGAATTCAATCTTAATTGTTTTAAGCTGACCAACACATTTAACAGTTCATTTTGATCCTGTGAGTATTCTTCTAATCTCATTATCACTTCCTTAATTTACTCAGCAGCATTTCATTCTTTCGACATTCCTGAAAAAAAAAATTGGTATTTAAAAGTCAACCAATTCTCTCTAAAAATAACAGTCTTTCTGGTCTAAAGTTCTAATTTAAAAACTTAAGGAAAACAATAAAATGCAGTAAACAAATATTTAATAACACTTTTACTTGTTAACATACAATTTGTACAATTTGGTATACATTGGTATTTTACATCACGAATTGATTAATTTTTTAATTTTTTAGGTCACTCAAAGAACTCAGTGCTTTCTTCTTTTCATTAAATGCTATGCATTATGCAATATCTGTAAACATTTTCAACTTACACTGTAAAAAAATAACTAGTTAAAGTCACGAAGAAAACTAGTAAGTTTACTGTCCATACAATCACTACCTTAAAAGTAGTTTTACCAGATATCGGTATATTTACTAGATAAGATTAGTAAATTAAGAATTGATATAACTTTCACTAGGTATCTAAGTATCTATACGACCCCCGCTCCACAACTCACTATCTTAACCAGTAAAATAAAAGTTTATTAATCACGACCAACACTTTACGAGGCACACTAGTTAAATTCACTAGGTTTTTCTTTCAGTGTATTTTTTAAAACCTGTTTTGGTATATAGCATCTATACGGAAAAAAGAGGAAGTTCTTGGTCTTTTGCAGGACTAATTGTAGGTTAGCGCTAGCATCTGAAGCAAATTTGGTAGTGTCCATCTTTAAATACAGCTGTGAAATCACAAATTTTTGTGGGGGTTGAGTTTTTGTTGGTTTTGAGGTATTGAGAGACCCACAAATTTATGACCACCACGAAATGTAAAATATCATTTGCAGTACTTATTAAACATTCTCCAACCACGAAATCAAATCCCCAAAAACAATATTTTTTCCTTAACCTCGAAAATTTGACCCCACGAAAGTATGTGATTTTACAATGCATCATCCATATATGTTTGGTGTAGGAAGTTTAAATAGGTCCTTGGGAATGGACCTGCTCCAAAAACCTAGACAGGGTAACACATCTCAAAAATGTAGGTTAGATGCAGCATCCAAAACAAGTCTGGTAGTTTACATCCCTAGATGCATCATCCATGCAAGTTTGGTTCAGGTAGGGCTTATAGTTACTTGGGAATAACAAGAGGCCCATGGGCCTTATAGGTCACCTGAGCATTATGCAACAACTTTTCAATGATTGAATTGATTCGTGTTTTAAGCCAGATGCTATGGCATTCACAAGTTTGAAAGAGGCACCATTGATCATCATAACAATACACTTAGCAGTTGCTTAGTTTGTTTACTTAATACCCATACGCAGGGTAAGGGAACACAAAATGCATTTCAACTAATCAGTAATATTCAGCAATAATCAGTAGTGCCCCTACCATACATGAACCCCTGACCCTTTGGCCTTGTTATTTAATTAATACCAAGGAGCAGATTTCAAACCATTCATTCATTTTCAGTATATAAGTACAGCCCCCCCCTCTATGGTACCCCTGACCCTGGGGCCTTGAAATTCACAATTTGTAAGATATGGGCCCTTGCCTATCATACCTATATTCATCATAACTTTATTTGTAGTTCATCTGCTTAATACCCTGGAGCAGAGAAGAAAATTTTTAAAGATTGAATGTATTTTCACTATATAATCAATAGAGCCCCGCCCTAACACCAGAACCCCTGACCCTGGGGCTATAAAATTCACAATTATGGAAGAGGCATTCTTGCTCATCATAACTATGTACTTAGTTAGTTTATTTATTTCCTAGGAGCAAAGGAGAAGATTTTCAAAGAATTCATATATTTTCACTATATAATCAATACAGTCCCACCCTAACCCCTGACCCTGGGGCCATAAAATTCATTATTATGGTAGAGGCACTCTTGCTCATCATAACTATGCACTTAGTAAGTTTATTTAATACCCAGGAGGAGAATTGAAGATTTTCAAAGAATTCATGTATTTTCACTATATAATCAATAGAGCCCCGCCCTAACACTAGAACCCCGACCCTGGGGCCAAAAAAATACACAATTATGGAAGAGGCATTCTTGCTCATCATAACTATGCACTTAGTTAGTTTATTAAATACCCAGGATCAGAGAAGAAGATTTTCAGAGAATTCATGTATTTTCACTATATAATCTATAGAGCCCCGCCCTAACACCAGAACCCCCGACCCTGGGGCCAAAAAATACACAATTATGGAAGAGGCATTCTTGCTCATCATAACTATGTACTTAGTTAGTTTATTAAATACCCAGGAGCAGAGAAGAAGATTTTCAGAGAATTCACGTATTTTCACTATATATAATCTATAGAGCCCCGCCCTAACACCAGAACCCCTGACCCTGGGGCCATAAAATTCACAATTTTGGTAGAGGCACTCTTGCTCATCATAACTATGTACTTAGTTAGTTTATTTGATACCCAGGGGCAGAGAAGAAGATTTTCAAAGAATTCATGTATTTTCACTATATAATCAATAGAGCCCCGCCCTAACACCAGAACCCCTGACCCTGGGGCCATAAAATTCACAATTTTGGTAGAGACACTCTTGCTCATTATAACTATGTACTTAGTTGATTTATTTAATACCCAGGAGCAGAGAAGAAGATTTTCAAAGAAATAATGCATTTTCACTACCTAATTATTTAGCCCCGCCCTAGCACTAGAACCCCTGACCCCAGGGCCATGAATTTCACAATTTTGGTAGAGGACTCATTGCTGATTACAATCATGCAAACAGTTTGACTGCTTGATGTCCAGGAGTAAAGAAGAAGATTTTTAAAGATTGCATTAATTTTAATGGTTTTGGCCCCACCCCTCAGGCCCCAGGGGGGCAGGGATCATGAACTTCACAATTTTTGTTCCCCTTCACACATAGATGCTTTATGCCAAATTTGGTTGAAATTGGTTCAGTGGTTGCAGAGAAGAAGCTGAAAATGTTCAAATGTTAACGCACAACGCACGACGCACAACGCACGACGACGGACGAAAACGGATAGCAATAGGTCACCTGAGTTTACTCAGGTGACCTAAAAATGTTGGTCAGATGCAACATCTGCAGCACGTCTGGTAGTTTACATCCCTAGATGCATCATCCACGCAAGTGTGATCAAGGTAGGGCCTAGAAAATTCCTTGGTAATTAATGGCTGGGGCTTTGTAATCATGGGAGAGGACTATCTACCGTATATACTCGCCTATAAGTCGGCTTTTTGGGAGTTAAACTTTGGTCCAAAACCCTATGTCCGACTTACAGGTGAGATATAAAAAGATTGGTATTTTAGAAGATCAATCTTTTTAACATAAGCTTCAAAAATATGACCGACTTATAGGAGGACCGACTTATAGGCGAGTATATATGGTAAGTTTTAGGAACTTGTGTCCAATCCCTTTGACAAGTTGTCAATAAAATCTGTTCAAAACCAAAAGTAATCTAACTTTGACATTGTTATTATTCATGCTGGGACTGTAAACACTGTTGATTACTGAGACGTACCTCCTTAAAGTCCTTCACTGTTTTGAAGTATAGTCGCTGTTTTTCCACCAAGTCTAAATACTGATCATTCAACTGGTCTCTCTTCATCTTCTCTTCCTGTTTACGCTTTTCAAGCTATACAAAAACAAAGAAAAACAAGAAACTATTAATCAGTCTGCCTGTCAGAGAAAAAATTGAAGAGTGGGCACTGTATTCAGGGTTAATTTTGCGCCTGTGTCATTTTCCCTCTTTCAAGCTTGCAAATAATGTTGCCGAGTTTTAAATTCGGCCACCTGTGAGTAGGGCAAAGGGGCAAAATAAAACGGGTGAAAATAAAACAGGGATAAAATTTCCTCTGCATACAGTATTTAAAATGAAGGGTTTGGACTGCCAGTGCTTGGCATTTAGGGTTACACAATGGACTGCCCAAAGACTTCAGTTAAGGACCCCTTTGTTTTTTGCAGGGTGAGGTTCCCGACAACCAATGGACTTAAGAAATGCTAGCTGCAGGTCTGAAGCTTCCTGGTCTGAAATAATGAGGGATGGAACCACTAGACAACTACAGTGCCACCCTCTGAAAAGTGATTATTCATTGTGCACAAAAAAGGGTCATTTTTTAAAATTTATTATTTTTTTTATACTTAAGCTGCTTTCTTCAAAATATTACAAGCAGGGTGTTCCTGACATAATTGTTTTACTACAGTACTTCCATACCAAAACATATTACATAAACAATTGCTATTATAGCCCTCCCATTAAAATTGAGATCATTAAAAACACTGCTTGCCTTGATTTTGGATAGTTATACAATACTACATTCTATGAATAACTACACATTGACCCCTGACCTTTGCCTTGTTCTGTTTGATTCCCTCCACTATGTTCTCAAACTGTTTCAGGAACTGGTCCCTGGAGGCTGGGCTGGCCATGGCTCTAAAACAAAAACAGAAAGATAAACATCTCCTGTCACATATGCCAGCTTTAATACTGTCTTTTCAACTAAAACTACTGTTCATAAGTGAGTTCTTTAATATACACTATAGATTAAAACATTTAAAATATATATATATATATATTAAATCTAATTCAACCACAGTTTAGATATTGAGTTTTATTAATTTACAGATACTTTCTTCAGGTCTATTTTATTGTTTATTAATAATTATATGTACAGATATTGAAAATTGGCATGTAACCATGAGGTCAGTACTATATGCCTTAGCTATGGTGGATTGAGTTTTTTAAAGTCAGTACATATGTACTTACTACCTGAAGTTCTCATGAAATGAGATTTTAAGACTGTTAGTACATTGTACAAAAAATGTACTCACTGCCTAAAGCTATCATGAATTGAGTGATTTAGGTCGGTACACATGTACTTACTGCCTGAAGTTATCATGGATTGAGTGATTTAGGTTGGTACACATGTACTTACTGCCTGAAGCTATCATGGATTGAGTTAAGGTCAGTACACATGTACTTACTGCCTGAAGATATTGTGGATTGAGTTATTAAGTCAGTACACATGTACTTACTGCCCGAAGTTGTCATGGATTGAGTTATTTGGGTCAGTACATATGTACTTACTGCCTGAAATTATGGGTGATTTACATGTAGGTCAGTACACATGTACTTACTGCCTGAAGTTATTGTGGATTGAGTTATTTTGTTTGATACACATGTACTTACTGCCTAAAGTTATCATGGATTGAGTTGTTAAGGTCGGTACACATGTACTTACTGCCTGAAGTTATCATGGATTGAGTTGTTAAGGTCGGTACACATGTACTTACTGCCTGAAGTTATCATGGATTGAGTTATTATGGTCGGTACACATGTACTTACTGTCTGAAGTTGTCATGGATTGAGTTATTATGGTCGGTACACATGTACTTACTGCCTGAAGTTGTCATGGATTGAGTTAAGGAGGCTGATCTCTTTGTTCAGATACAGCTTGGTGTCGTCCAGCGTATTGTACAGCGTATAGAACTGTTTGGTTTCTTTGTGAGTGGCAGCCACTAGGAAAAAACAAACATGTACCATCTGTGTGAGTTATTCATCTGTTTGAGTTATCATGTAAACTTTTACTGATCAAAGAAAGGCTCTTTATATGAGGAAAGTACACATAACTCTCACACCAAAAATGTACACAAACATAATATATGTCATGTACACTAGAACCTATGCACTGATAAAAAATGCAGTAATGATCTAGAAAATATCGATTCCCTTTTTCTTTTATGGAAGGCAAGCTGCTAATTAAAGCTTAAAATGTCAATTATATAGCACATGCTTAAAAGAAAATGTCAGGAGTGGACGACCGAGACTTGTTAGGAGTCTGGTTTTTTTGCAAATTCATTGTACTGAGGAATTTTTGTAGACAATTGATTGGCTGATGGCTATCCAGCTACATTTTAAACATCAACAATCTTTTTTTAATTTTTCTAAAGCTGTGAATACACCCTGATAATGGTAACATTAACAACATGCATTCATTTACAAATCATGTTACAAAAGACCATTTTCTCTCTCTCTATTAACTATCTTAATCATTCAGCATATCATTCTTATTCATGCAGCTTTTTCATAAACTGCAGTTTGAATTGACAAAGTGCTGCTTGATTTGTAAATCTAATTAATACCATAAAGCTTTTTAAATAAATTGCTGTAGGATCTGACAAAGTTCTGCTGGAGATATCTACCTTGATCGTAGAGCTCAATAAAGCGTCGCTGGTACTGACTTAATTCCGCTCTAGATGGCACTTCATCAATCTTTCTTTGGAGGACTGCGATCTCCCGAGTCTTCCTAGCCTAAATTACAAAATTTACATGTGTCGTATCAAAATCCATATTAGGCGAATTTTTTTTAAATGATAAGTACCGGTACGCTGTAAGTTTTTTTTCATGGACAGATAGAGGAAAAAATTGTCGAAAATTTTGAAGATAACAAGTAAAGTAATGTTTTATATTGGGGTAAAATGAATAATTTTGACCAAATAGATTTTCATTCAAAGTTTCATAATAATGGAATTTAAAGTGACGAAAAGTTGTTTTAATAGATTAATAAGGATGGTTGCAGAATGATACAATTTGAACATCATAGGACACTGATTCAGTTTAGTCTTTTTTCTTCTTACCAGGAGCAGTCTTATCTTGTGGAGTTTCTCTCTGTCTGCCTCATACTGCTTGTCAATCAAACTGGCTCGGGTCTGTCAAAACACAAAAATATGTCAGATCTAAGTATTAAATTAAATCAAATTTTCATGCAAAATATCTACTGGTAATTAATATAATCATTCATGAATTAAATTCTGAAAATTGGAATGAAGCATCATAAAAAAAAAATTCTTTCTAGACTCTAATAGGTTTTTTTAAAAATAAAATTATGAAAAATGGATAAAAATCATGTTACATGTATTAATATCTGCAATTTGTGGTAAAGAAACTCTGCAGTGATGTCATGTCATTTACCTTAAGTCGGGTGTACAAAAACTTACACCCAGTTTGCTAACCAATCAAATCTTGTGTTACAAGCTAGATAGGAAATATAAAATATTCTGCTGATCCCAGACTGTAACTACTCCCCTAACCTTGTCTTCCGAGTCTTCCTCCTCCGTTCCTGCCTTTAGTTCCTCTATCTGCGCCTTCAGACGTGACATCTCTTCCTTACAGTGAGCCTTAAAGTCCTGCTCCTGCTTCTTCAAGTTTTCATTCATAGCCACCAAGGACCGCAGAGTCTGTAAAACTCTAGAAAACAAAACAAAACTTACAAGGACCCATTCCCATTCATTTTTAAAATTTCATATAAAATTAAATTCAAATTTTTTTAAAATCTAAACCAAAAATGGCATATTAAAATTTATATTTGAATACAAATACAGTAAAACAATATCTTTTTTCACATATTAGGTACATATTTCTGTTTCAACAGTAAGTTGCATCATTATACATGTACAATATTTAAAATCAAAATTGAATTCTTATTCTCTACATCCTATTATGACATATCTAATATGAGTACATGTAAATGCCTGCTGAATACTTCATCCTACACTCTAGTTTCAGAATGCTTGAATAAAGAGAAACTTTTGTCTCACCCTTGATTGTCCTCTGTCTCAATCTCGGTCAGTTTCACCATCTCCTCATCAATTCTCTCACTTCGATTTCTCACCTGAGATAACAATCAAACAAGGTAAAATATTAATCTTTAAGGTTCCTGCACTCTCTGATAAGAGAGATAACTCCTACTTGCATAAATGATTTTTATTCCCTTATAAATTTGAAACTTTAAATTACTGGTAATTTCTGTCATTTCTCACCTGAGATGATAATCAAGCCAGGTAAGATATTAATCTTTAAGGTTCCTGCACTCTCTGATAAGAGAGATAACTCCTACTTGCATAAATGATTTTTATTCCTTTATAAATTTGGAAACTTTAAATTACAGGTAATTTCTGTCAATCTTTGCTCTAAAGAGTTACAATACTGATATTTTGTGTATTTTAAATAAGACTTCTTTTGGCCTGTATACAGCTAAAAGAATTACAATCTAATTAAAATTAGATGTTCCGAATCCACTACCGTTTCTCAAACATCTAACAACATCCCATTCGGGGTCACGTCAGAGCGACCTTTAGATTATGAATAAACACAAAAATTTTGGCCAATCAGATTTAAGCTTCGGTAAACAATTCTACAATTAGTTCCATGACTACATATCATCATTCTTGATATCATCTTACGTTGAATTAAAGTAATTTTGGTATAAATTTAATGTATAGCAGGTATAGTCCACCAGTCTGGCATCCTTACATGAATAACGCAAACGAAAAGGCAAAAACTGTACAAGATATCCCGCATGTCACATTCATACATAGAACAGCTTTTGCATTGCATATTTTGTTTACTACGAAACTCCTCGGGCGTTTAGCTTCGGCAGTGAAAAGAAGAAACCCATCCAAACTATAAGCCAAGATTTTGGTGGTAACCATTTCATTGGCTGATCTAAAGGTCGCTCTTGCATGACCCCGGATGGCATGTTGTTAGATGTTTGAGAAACGGTAGCGGATTCGGAACATCTAATTTTAATTAGATTGAAAGAATTAGATTACATGAACAAACAGAAAGACCTTAAACTTTTGGAACTGATTAAATTAACAGCTGTCTTACTAAAACAATGTCTAAACACAAGCTTTACTCTCTCCAGTTTGAATTCAATCTAATTTTGTTAAATATAAACACTCCCTACCTGTTTGAGTTTTTCTTGAGTTTCGAGGTAGACTTTATGGAGTTCATCATGCTTGGCTTGAACCTTTGAAAAAGAAACAATGATGAAATAAGACAATAGCAAGCATAATCCTATTGTAGTTTGCTTATCTGTTGTACTGGTATCTGTTCATCTGTAACAATTTGTTTGATGTTTATCTGTGTATCTGAAGTCATTTGTTTTGTCAGTTGTATCTTTTACCTAGCTTGTCTGTTTTTATAAATGTTTATGTTTTATAGTTTGTCTATATGCCTGTTAACATAAATTGCCTGTTTTTATACATGTTAACCTGTTGCAATTTGTCTGTCTGCTGTTGCATTTGTTTGTGTTAACCCGTTGTAGGTTGTCTATCTCTCTGTTATATGTGTTTACCTGCTGTAAGTTATCTGTTCGTTGTTGTATTTGTTTACTCAGGGCAGCAGTCATTCTCTTATGCTGCTGTGTTCCGCCAACCCTCTCTGATTTTTCTATCTGCTCTATCTCAGATTTCTGTAATGAAAAAAATCAGTTGTGCATTCTTAATTAAATACATATATGCTCATGGCAACCTGGGTCCAAGGATATTTTTTGTCTGCTCTCACAAATTATCCTTCTAGCACATACATGTATGTGCAATGTATTTCATTGGAGATTCCACAAAAAAACGTAAAATATTTTTTTCAATTTAAGTATTAAATCAAAGTTTGCTCTTCTTGACTCTTCCTTGTCAGAAAGATTTTCCTGAGTTTTACATGTAAAACACCACATTGTTATTTAGAGAAATTCTCCCATAAACTAAAGTAAAATATCTGATTATAGTGCATGTTTGACTTACTTTTCCTTCGTAGTGGGAGGCGATTTGTTGGATCTCCTCAGACTGCATGCCCACTATAGATCCAACCGCACTCGCTGTTAGTTTATCCTGCATGCATGTAATATAGCTCAACAATAACATCAAACACAAACACAAACAAACAAAAACTATCGCTAAGATACAACATAAAATGTGCAATGTATGCAATTCATATACAATTACAAAGCAATTCAAAACTGAAATTTAAAGATTCGAGTAAATGAGAAAGTGTGAAGATTTGGTGTTGTGCAACAAACACAAAATTCTAAAAAGTCAACCAAAAATAAATGCTACAAAAGCTGACCTTCATTAATTGTGGAAAAGGAATGACTAAGAAACTTAAAATGTTTACCAAGTCTCGGATAAGAGAGATAACTCTGCTTGGGATATCATTTCAGAATTTAATTTGATTCCTTGTCAAATTTTGCAACACAACAGATACTAAAATTGTTTATATTTCATTCGTTATTTAGACTTCTTTTTGAAAATCATTATCATTCAAGACCGAAGAGAGGGAGGAAAAACCTGAACTAAAAATGTGACAACTCAAACATAGCAAACCTGACTCAGGTACCCACAAGTGCTCATTAATATACCCTACAAAATCATTAAGTGTTTGAGATGAGTGCTTGTGGAAACCCGCTGAGCTGAACAGGCTTCTCTAGTGAAAAAAAAAAACATGTGTTCAACAATATTACCTGTCTTTTTCCTCTCTTGATTAAAATATTGCAAAAAACAAAATTATAACATCTGAAAATATTGTCCTCAGTAGTAAAAATTTCAAAAAGAGCTCTGAGTATGACAGCTCTATTTAATCCAACTTCATATTGGTAGGATTAATAGAAACTCAATTTGAAACAAAAGATGTTTGTGAAACACTTAAGCCCCCTCCCCCCAAATAATTTGAATTTTTCTTAGTCCAAGGGGCATAACTCTATCAAAAATTGCTTGATCATAGCCAAAACAGTTGATTTAGCGATTCTCATGGTGAATCTGTATACGAGATTCCATTTCAGTATGTGCAACTTCTGATAAGAAAATGAAGGGAAACTGTTGGTACACAGATTGACCAACAGCAGCAAAGAAATATGTCCTATCTTTTTCAAAGGGGGGCATAAAAACTTATTTTATTTTTTCAAATTCAATATAATTTAAATTTACGGGGAGAGAATATGATAACCACCATACTCACTTTTTAGTGTTTACAATATGATTAATTGAAAAATAATTGGGAAAATACTCATTGACATTGAAGTAGCAAATCCTTTAAATAAATTAAAATATCTGTAATTTCCTTCGTACTTGATTTTTATTGTGAAAAAAATTAAATTTTACAAATTTCATACTTACCGGGTAATAGAATTATTCAAGTGAACATGATTTTTAATTGTATCTTAATTTATAAAATAGTAAATTGTGAATCTTTCCCTATAGTTTCACAGCCACATTTCACATTTTGAAACAATAAATTCAAGATGCGACACTCAGTCTCCATGCTGCTCTGAGGCAAAAATATTGTGCAATAAATTAATATCTGCTATAACTCACCTCCTGAAATCCAGACATCCCTGACATCAGCTTCTGGATTTTCTTCTACAGAAAAAGAATACACTTTTTAATTGATAAATAAACAATCAAATTAATTGATAAATAATTCTCAATGCAATATTCATTGCTTATTTCATGCGCCAATACTAAATTCACATTTTGAATGAGAAATCCCTATGAACAATGAATTTCTTGTTTAAAACTTCTCAATATTCTTATTTTTTATAGTTAACTTGAAATAAATTGAACAGTCAGACTTCTTATCTGGAAGCTTTCTCCATAAAATTGGCTTTGGAAAAAAAAACAAGCATCCAATTAGCAAGCTTGATTGTATATTAAACTGCATGTGATTATCTGAAACACCTCCAGCCTTTCACAGAAAGGGTTTTTCTGTGAAAAGATCAAGGTGTTCCAGATGAAGCTGTGATGACCCTGACCTCTTCTTCTGCCTGTAGTTCCTCTGGGGTCATTTCCTTCTGACCTCCCAAGCTGCTGGCTGCTGCTTTCTTTTTAGCACTTTTGTCAGCATCCTGAAATATATACCATTAATATGTAACAAATTGTAACTTTTCCCCTGAAATGCTAATTCTCCCAACCCCACCCAACATTTCTTTCTTTTGTTTCCTTCCAATCATTTCCCTTACTTCCCTCCTGTTCTTCCTATCTTGTTCTCTGACTTTTTTATGTATCCCATTTTTTTTTCAGACTAAGTAAAACTCCCCACTCTTTCTTAAACCATAGTCCCTTCATTTCTTAATTCACTCTCCAAAAAGAAGTGTCAGTGGTTAAAATTCAGTAGCCTGATTAATAGAACTATAAATCACAGAATTAATATATAATATTGCATGTACAGTACTTGTAACTTCATGAACTTTACAGTTTAGATAATAACATATGGTGAATTAATTTACAGCTTTAATTAACTTATACACCTAATACATATGTATGCAATGTGAATTACAGCACCTAACAGTGCAATAAAATGTTAGCTTACCTGTTCAGATGTGTCAGACTTGCTCAAACCATATCTCCTGCAAAATAGATTAGGAATATAAACATGAGGAATTTTTCATTGAGAGGAAATAAAAACAAGAGGCCCATGGGCCACATCGCTCACCTGAGAAGCTTTGACCATTCTGTTCTTTACCAGATTTCCTCCTTGTAATAAATAATGCATCCCCACCCTACCCCACTGATCATAATTTAGACATTTTGAAATCTACACTACCCAAGGATCCTTCTACATAAGTTTCAGCTTTTCTGGCCCAGTGGTTTTTGAGAAGAAGATTTTCAAAGATTTTTCCTATATATTTCTATGTAAAACTTTGATTCCCCATTGTTACCCCGCCCTTCCCCCGGGGGTCATGATTTGAACAATTTAGAATCTATACTAGCCCAGAATGCTTCCACATAAGTTTCAGCTTTTCTGGCCCAGTGGTTCTTGAGAAGAAGATTTTCAAAGATTTTTTCCAATATATTTCTATGTAAAACTTTGATTCCCCATTGTAGCCCCCCCCTTCCCCCGGGGGTCATGATTTGAACAATTTAGAATCAACACTACCCCAGAATGCTTCCACATAAGTTTCAGGTTTTCTGGCCCAGTGTTTCTTGAGAAGAAGATTTTTAAAATTTTTCATATATATTTCTATGTAAAACTTTGATTCCCCATTGTGCCCCCCCCTTCCTCCGGGGGTCATGATTTGAACAATTTAAAATCTACACTACCCAAGGATCCTTCCACATAAGTTTCAGCTTTTCTGGCCCAGTGGTTCTTGAGAAGAAGATTTTTAAAATTTTTCATATATATTTCTATGTAAAACTTTGATTCCCCATTGTGCCCCCCCCCCCCCCCTTCCCCCAGAGGTCATGATTTGAACAATTTAAAATCTACATTACCCTAAGATGCTTCCACATAAGTTTCAGCTTTTCTGGCCCATCGGTTCTTGAGAAGAAGATTTTCAAAGATTTTTCCTATATATATCTATGTAAAACTTTGATTCCCCAATGTGGCCCCGCCCTTCCCCCGGGGGTCATGATTTGAACAATTTAGAATCTACACTACCCCAGAATGCTTCCACATAAGTTTCAGCTTTTCTGGCCCAGTAGTTCTTGAGAAGAAGATTTTCAAAGATTTTTCCTATATATTTCTATGTATAACTTTGATTCCCCATTGTGGCCCCGCCCTTCCCCCGGGGGTCATGATTTGAACAATTTAGAATCTACACTACTCCAGGATGCTTCCACATAAGTTTCAGCTTTTCTGGCCCAGTGGTTCTTGAGAAGAAGATTTTCAAAGATTTTTCCTATATATTTCTATGTAAAACTTTGATTCCCCGTTGTGGCCCCGCCCTTCCCCTGGGGGTCATGATTTGAACAATTTAGAATCTACACTATACCAGGATGCTTCCATATAAGTTTCAGCGTTTCTGGCCCAGTGGTTCTTGAAAAGAAGATTTTTTAATGACCCAACCCTATTTTTGTCTTTTCTTGATTATCTCCCCTTGTAATGGGACTTGGCCCTTTATTTTAACAATTTAAATTCCCCTTTACCCAAGGATGCTTTGTACCAAGTTTGGTCAAAATTGGCCCAGTGGTTCTTGAGAAGAAGTCGAAAATGTGAAAAGTTTACAGACGGACAGACAGGCGGACGGACAGACAGACAGACGGACGGACGACGGACAAAATGTGATCAGAAAAGCTCACTTGAGCCTTCGGCTCAGGTGAGCTAAAAAAAGAATCCTTAAATTTAACACAAATCTATTAATTTTTACCCATTTCTTAAAAATTGTAAATTTCAAAGACATCAGCTTTATCAGACCTTCCATATTCCAGTAGTGTGGAATGAACACGAGTTTCTTCATCCTTCAGTTGATCCACATTTTGTCTTTTGTACCGTCTTTGGGGCTTGTAAACATCCTGCGTAATGGTTAATCAATATGACTTTGTTAAATAAGTAATGCTGAAAATTTAATTTTAACAGAGAAAAACCTTTACAGCTCATAGAATATTAAGAGGGTGGCGAATGGGAAAAGTGAGAAATATGGTGTAAGGGCCATTTGTAACTCAATAAACAAACCTTAACATCAGCCAGAGAGACTGTAGACTTTTCTTTTAATTCTTCAAATACAACATCCTGCAAAAGAAATATAACAGTTAAATACTCCAGGTTTATAATTATTACAACTAAATTAAATTATGATTTTTTGACCACATCAAAATATGTTCCAGACCTATGACTTAACTTTTAGCCCAAAATTTGCAATATCAAAAGATCAAAATAAATATGCTACATTCAATTAACAATAAGTTATAGTAATCTTTTCATAATCAACTCATGACCTCATGTAAAAACTAGTCATAAAAATAAATAAACAATCTGTGTGAAAAAATACAAAGGTCAAACCTCCGGAGTCTTGTGAGTTTTGCTGAACTGAGAAATCGAGAAAGCTCGTATAAAATCTCCCATCTCTTCTCTTGTCTCAATAGCTTTCTTCACCAACCACTTAAGCAAAGAAATCATAGATCATTATGCAATAGCATGCTTAAATATTAAACAAAATGTTTCTTTGAACTGTCATATACACAAACAGTAACTAAATCTATTATAAAATTCTTTAGAAAAAAATTTGATGACCAAAGTACTTTGGAAAGTTTGATAACATATTATACATCGTGTTGATTTATATATATAATTTTGAATTTTGAGAAACATAATAAACATGTACTTGGAAATAAAGTCTTTGGTAAATGTAGGCTTTCACTACATGTAAATTCATACACATGAGTATACTGATAATACAGTTAAAATACTTAATTCAAAATGCTGAAATGTTAATTGTTATGTACATAAAATATGGAAGTTAAGACAACTCTCTTCCTAGCATAAAGCTTTAACACTTTATACATTCTCACCTGAACTACGGGGTAGATGTGAATGAAATCCAACCCCTGAATCTGATGGGGCTCAATTCTGTGTGGACATTTCATCTTAGGAAGCACTGCCACAATTCGCTCTGTTAAGGCACTGATCAAAATAAAATTAATATAATGTACAAGTCAACTGCATTCATTTATAGGATTCACAAGCCTGAAGGTAATCTAAAATTAATTTTATTGATTCAAAAATACAATTTATAAGATTTATATAGTATATATGTGCATCTAACATTAAAAATTATTTAAATGCAACAAGGAAATAAATACTTCTTATTACTAGTACTATTATAATAATAAACATGTTATATTGAAAGCCTCAAATTGTACATTTAGCTGCAGATTTTATGCAAACTAGCTACTTGGTTAGAAATAACTCTTGGCATTAAGTCAATAGCTTGAATACATAGATTACTTGCATTTTTTGTCCAATGGTTGAATTTTCTTGGAACAAGAGGTCGACATCAATGTCTATATTACAGGTGGTGATACACCAAGTCATTCCTCCTACCACCTGTTGAGAAGTGGAGGCAAAAGCATATTAGTATAGGAAAACTTCAGTAAGTACTTTTTGAGTCATTAATGATTATAGTACTTGTCTATTCTGGATAGAAATTGGCTGAATTAGGCAACATTTAAAATAATTGAATTTACTGCCAGAGATTAAAAGTTTGTACTTTGTATTCAAGACAAGATTTCAGAATGCACAAAATCTGGATTACTATATTCAAGTTTCACTGTATTAACTTTATAAAAAGTCTGTATTTAGTTTCTAATACATATGAAGATAAGAAGTACAATAGAATACTTTATCGAATGGTGAGAGTCCCTTGATTCTGGCCCTGAAGTATCCAGCAGCCAACAACAAGTCAATAGTTTGTCCCAGTTTAACATTCTGCTCTTCATCTTCCCTCACATCAAACTGCAAAGATGAATTCAACAGTTACCGGTACTAAAAAACAACTTTCACAAAACAGTTTTTTAAAAAAGGGAATGATAATTGCGGTGAAAATACATTTTTTTTAATTGGACCACAATGGGTTGGTACTGTATCAGCCCTTATAATATAGCATTACATTAAGATGTGGTGATGAGTGCCTTTGATTGAACTTGAAATTTTGTGCTAATCTTCCAAAAATGCACAATTTCACAATTATTTCTTTATCAATGAAACAATAGTATACTGTAATGGATAAGCTTATGTTTACCAGCTGACTTAGTCACAAGTGTGGTGCAGTGGTTAGAGCATTAATGTTTTGCTCTAGTGCTGAGACAAAAAAAAATCCTTCTCGGTTCAAAGGCCTTATTTGCATTTGCATTCCTCAACAAACAAGTGGTGGTATCTCAATGTGAGCGAGAGTATTCTCGCAGGGACGTAAAACAAATACCCCAAAATTTTCTGCTTTTGGCCCAAATGGCAAATGCTATTTTTTATGTTTCTTTTGCAAAATTTCATTTTATGTTTGGAAAAACGCATTAATTATGGATCTCTGCAATGGCTATAGATACCTCTATTTCATTGCCGTCTGCATCGTACTGTGTGGCCAATTTCGATGACCCAGCACGAGCTCTCGTCGCAAACACACTCCCCTTCAACGCCATTTTGAAAGTCACATGATCCACTTTATAAATAGATGAACCGGAAGAATTTCCCACGATAAGTTACTTGACAGTCATGGCGGGAGAAAAATCTAAATGTTGATTGGTTGATAATTTTAATCATTCAAGAATTCCTTGATTTTGATTGGCTCATTGTATATCATCCGAGATTTCTTTATGGTACGACCATCAGGCGTCAGAATTCATAACACTCACCGGTCACCAGAAATCAGTGTATATATAGGAAAAGTAACCGTTATCAACAGACAGAAAAATTTGTAAACAACAGTTACACTCAGGTAAGATTCAGGTTTTATTTCTGATGTGTCAAAACATAAAATTATAGAGAAGAATGTTTGAAAATTATTCCTAGGAACTTTGTTTACATTTTTGCCACAGCTAGTGTAAACTGCAGGTGGACAGTGCGTGGTATATAACGGTAGTTTATCAGTTTTTGTATTTCCAAAATCTTTTATTAGCGTACATCTTGTCTGCATTATAAGCACACTTAACTTGCAACATTTATGTAGTCCATTTTTGTTTCTTATGTCAAAACAGCTGTTTATAAGTCTGCCTCTGACTGACTGTGTTAAAATATGTTGTGAAGTTCTTTGTATGCTAATTTTATAGAATAACTGACAAACATTTTCTCTTATGTAGGTATTCCCAAGATGGGTCTGTTACTTCGAGGTACAGTTCTCTTTCTGATCGGCAATTTCTTTGCTGTCTTCATGAACCTGCTACAGATCAACAGACAGGGTGATGTCTCAGTCAAACTACCCCCAGAACTGTTGGAGAACCTTTTTCTGAAAGAGTGGTGGGTGCCGCCCATGTGTGGAGCCGCTGCAGGTATAATTTTAAACAAAATCTTAGTAAATCATACAATTTCTGTTCTTTACAGGGACTTGCTAGAACCTAGAAGGCATTTTGACAAGTTATTGTAGCTTACCACATTTAATATACCCCCTAAATATAGTTTTGTAGATTTTAAATGCCACTGTATTTCCTTCAGGTTTTTTCTTCATTTAACTGACTCTCAGTGTTGTAAATACACCAAATGAATATATATTCCAGGTTTATTCCAGATTTTTAATATAAAGTTTGACTTTCCCATACAAAAAAAAGGTACATATAGGCATACTTTTTTTGTGCCTTTTCAGTACCTAATGTGTGCCTACTATTATAGGTACAGAAAAGGCATACCTATTCTGTGCCAAAAATGAACTTAATTTTTTTCTAGTGTACCTAAAATGTACCTAATTTGGACTTTATCATTTTACAGTGTGCCTGAAATGTGCCTACTTTAGACTTTGTCATTTTTCAGTGTACCTAAAATGTACCTAATTTGGACTTAGTCATTTTACAGTGTGCCTGAAATGTGCCTACTTTAGACTTTGTCATTTTTCAGTGTACCTAAAATGTACCTATTATGGACTTAGATATTTTCCATCTTACCTACTATGAACTTTGTCATTTTTCAGTGTGCCAGAAATGTACCTATGTTGAACTTATATATTTTCCAGTGTACCTAAAATGTACCTATTTTGAACTTAGTCATTTTTCAAAGTGCCTGAATTTAAATACTTTATTAGAAGACTGGTTCTTTGTAGCAGGGTGGGGTGGGGTGGGGTTGTGGGGGGTGGGGTTGAATTATCATTCAAACAAGTTGTGCATTTAATTTTTAATTTCATTATACTTCATATTTCACATCATTATTGCAAGTCCTCGGTATAATATATAGTGGTGTTGTGGAAAGAAAAAATGGGGAGGGGTAATAACATTGTTACTCTCAAATGCCAAATATGTAATTATCATTAATTCAATTAATCTTCTTAAGGAAAATAAAAGGTAAAGATCCATTTCTGTTCTTAAAATATGACCTAGTTTGTCTTACAGAGTTCTTAGTAACTTTGATTAACATTCTCTAAGACATAAGGGATTGTCTTATAAACACTATACAATTATATTGACCATTGACCATTAACCCACCCCCCCCCCCCCCCACACACACACACTTGTTAAATTATTTTTTTTTACATGTCATTTTATCAACTTGTTGCATTTTGCAATACTGTGAAATATGTATATATCAATTAGAAACAGGAATTCACTTTCCGCTTGAACGAACACAATACACAGGTAATCCACAGAGACTATCAGGTAGTCCGTGCATTTAGTGAAGTGGACACAAAGTCATGTAACCAACACCCAAATCTGCTTAGTTACGATGCTTCTCAGTATTTTTCTTGCAGTATTATTCTTTAATTTCTTTTGTTCTTCAACAAATTAATGATAAATGAATGTTTTTAACTCTGTAAATAAACTGATAAACTATTAAGATATTAACCGTTTTAAAAACTAAATACATTTTTTTTTTTCAAAACCAGGTTTGCCTAGCAAACCCCTCTAGTTGTAACAGATACAACTTTGTATTATAAATTATCAGTAATAAAATTTATATGCACATGTCTATGTCCAGTAGAGGTCCCATTACGCGATCACGGCATATCTCTCTATCTCTCTCTCTCTCTCTCTCTCTCTCGTACGTTTTGTAAATACAAAAATGTATGGGATGTTTAAATTAACTTTATAGGGTGAGAATTTATATCCATTAGACCAGTTACTGGTGTATTTTAAAATAGACTTTGTTAATCTTTGAATGCAAAACGATGTTGATTTCCACAGTATTCTTCACTGAGTGACACAGGTGTTAATACCGGATGACCTTCACCCTGCAGAAATTGTTTGTGTATCACATGAAGTTCTCCACAAACATGACAAAAGGGTGATTTCATTAAATTTTTCAGCTCAATATTAATGGGTAAAATACAAAAGAATAAATTACAGAATGAAATAAATAGAGATGCTTTAACTATTACCGGTAGTTAGGAAGTAGCAGTAAAAAAAAAATGTGTACATTTACAGAAATTTCATATAAATAATAGCCCCCAAGATGCACAAAATACAGGTGCTTGTCATTTATAATTATTCACATACTAAGCATTTATGGATTGTATACATGTTATAATTTACATGATGGTCCAAGTATACATGTATTTCGATGTTTGTATCACTCTCTTGTGTCAGTTACATTAATTAAGATTTTAGTTGAAATCTAACACGTAAGAAAATTATGAATAATTAAAAAAAAATAGGGGGCCAAATCAATTTGAGAGGATTAGTTATGTAAACAAACACAAAATAGTAATGGCGTTCAAGATGGCGGTTCAATTATTTACCCAAAATAGCCACGCTAAATTTCAAGGATTTCATCGCAATCGGCTTTCTGTTTAAGTTGGGGTTTCATTAAATAATTGTTAAATGTTCATTGTTATAATTATTAATTGTTTACACGAAATATTTTATGAATAATTTAATAAATTTTAATGAAATCACGTGACTCCAGCGAAGTCTACGATTGGTCAGTGAATAGCGCGGACATTACAGAGACGATTTGAAAATTGGCCGAGATGAAAACCTCAAAAAGAAATCGGAGAATTATAGGTCGGTGAGTCTTTATTTCAGTGTAAATTTTTATGCTGCTTTTTGTTTATGTATTTTTGCACGTAAAGAATGCATTAGAATGTGAATATCAAATGTAAATTTTACGAAATTCTAGGTATTTGTACCGTAGAGTTTTGGTTTGTTTTGATTCAAGATGGCCGTGCAGCCAGTGATACAGCCTACACATGAAGTAAAGAGATTTAAATAATTATTATTTTGTTTAACCAGATGTGTAACAAGACAAAAAAGTGTTTCACAGTTTCAGAGTCTTTTAAAAAAAATACTACGAGTAATGTGTCAATATCGCCGAACAGGTAGAACAGTAGCCTCTGCATGGGCATGGCGATAATAACAAACAACAGTGGGACGGACAACTTCGGAATGGACATTTTTCCGAACTTGCGCACCCTTTTCCTTTAAAGCTATCATCTTAGGGTTTTTTTTAAATGGTGGGGTTTTTATTATCAAATTGATTTATGAAAAAAAAAATTCAACATTTTCTGCTAGTTTTTGAGATATTTGAGTTCAAAAACAAAAATCCCATGGGGAAACATGAACTTAAAAATACCCCACAAAAAACCCCACAAAAACCCCATGGGGTTTATTTTTCACCCCATGGGGTTAAATAACCCATATTATTTTTCGTGGGGTTTTTTAACCCACGTTTAACTAGAAATAAAATGTGGGGTTTATTATCCCATAATTTTTCATGTGGGGTAAAAAAACCCATATTATTTCTCTTAATGCTTGTAATTATCAAGTGAGAATTATAAAATAAATATTGTTTGGAGTTGCAACATAAATTAAGTACAATACATGTACATTTTTTATCAACTTTGTAACAATTTAATTAATTTTTTTTTTCAAATTCATTGATATACAGTACCGGGCCATAAGTGAGTCATAATTTTATTTTTACACTATATATTTCATTGAAAAACCTATTTTCATAAAAACTTGTTGTGAAGTCAATTTTAGCTCAATTTTCATGATTTTTTCACTGAAACATGCAGAATTATTAAAATTTTCTTATCTTAAATGATAAACAAAATCATACAGGGGTTCAAAATTTTTTTTGTCATGGTCAAGTCCAGGACTTAAAGAGTAAATTTTAGGCAAGTCCGAGGAAGAAATTTGAAAGTCCATATTAACCTATACATCATTAAATTTATGTTACTTATAATTTATTTCCATTTGTTGCATTAAATGAATAAAGACTATATGTATTAATATATGTTTTATTTTTCCTCCATAAACTGTCATATAGTCATACATGAGTATTTCAAAAGTACCAGACTGATAGGTTATTGGTACATTAAAATAACTTTTACAAATACTCACTACTGAATAAACCATCTGTTACAATAAATAGCAGTTAGAATGTGCTGTAAGTCAAAGCTAAAACCGAAATCTAAAAAACTAATAGACTAATTGCCGTTTGTCAAATAGGAGGAAACATGAGGAATTGCGTAAAAGCAAGAATCTAACCGCAACGGAAAATAAAAAGACGGATTGTATTTTCGAAACGTTC